GAATCCGACATCCCCAACCCCCTCGCCACACCTGGGGTCATACCCGCCATGACCGGATCGTACTGCTCCGTGAGGAACTGCTGCATGAGGCGCTCGTCGCCGCCCCCACGCGACACCTCCGCCTGTGCCCCTATCTCCTCCTCCACTGCTCCTGGCATTCCCCCCTCCACTGCATCCGCTCCTCCAGCTGCTCCTGCTGCTGCAGCCACAAGCCCATCCAGTGCAGCTGCTCCTCCAGCTGCTCCTCCAGCTTCTCCTCCCGCTGCTCCTCCCGCTGCTCCTCCAGCTACTCCCGCCTGCCCCTCCACTGCATCTGCTCCCCTTGGCGCTGGTGCCTCCTCCGCCAACACTGAAGCTGCCATCTCCTCTAGCAATGAAGTCGCTGCTGCTACAGTTATCTGGTCCACCACACCTGCAATCGTCGTGCCCTCCAATCCCCCCTCCACTGTCATCTCCCCCTCCACTGCTGCTGCCGACGGTCCCCCCTCCTTCTGCAAGACCCCCAGAGAAGGTGATCGTAACCTCAGTTGTCGGACTGCCCCGCCTCTGTGGAGTAGTCCGCGCTGAGGCAAAGAGGACGCCAACTCCTCTGTGTCCTTTGCTACTGTGGTCGGCTCATATGGCGCGACGGGCGATGGCGGTGCAGGACTTGGAGCAGAAGGTGGCGGCATGGACGACTCCTGCCTCGTCGGAGCGGGGCTCGTCGCCCGCGCTCCTGTGTTGCCCGTAGAAGCGACCTCCCCGAACGGTCCCCACAACTCCTCCTCTCCCCCCATCATCTCCCTCTCTGCCCTGTCAGCGTCCCGTCGTGCAGTATGCGCCCTGGTGTCCTCTTCGGGATTCAGGTGCGTCTCGTCGATCTCACGGGGAATGCGGAGCGCGGGGTCGTCCGCTGCCTCGGGTACCGGCTCCTCGTCGGAATCATCCTCCCTGGGGTAAGGACGGAAAATGGAAGCACGTCTACCAAATACGGCCTCAGCGGCGGGTGGTGCGGAGACCTCGATGGGATCCTTGGTGATAAGCGCAACCTGACGGGCAATCTCCTCCGGCGTCATCCCCCTGCGCGTGCCCGTGCGCACTGGCTCCAACTCCAATCCGCCCTGACAGTCTAGCATGCCCTCGTCCCGCTGCCATGGCAGCACATAACCGCACCCAGCCCGCCGATACTCCGACAACCGCACATTCGCGGTGATCTCAACGAGCTGAACGACCTTCTCAAAGGCCAACTGGTTGCGCTTCTTCGTGTGAATGCCTTCGTGGACTGCCCAGTTCCTCTCTGCTGGAGAGGCGCAAGACCACATGTGCATCACACGAAGAGCGCAGCGCTGCAACTCAGGCGCGCCAGACCCGTACTGAGACCACCAGGACGCGCACTCAATTGTCTCCCTGTCGCCGCTGCAAGCACGCCCACGAGCACGCCCCTCCTCCCCTCCCCAATCCCCAAATGTGCCCTGCTGCATGTGGAAGTCCTCAAACTGCCGACATGCAATGATGTACTCCACACCATCCTCCTCGTAACCCGTCTGCGTCAAAATGTACCTCTTGGCTTGCCTTACAAGCCAACGAGGGTAATCCCTCACCTCGCCCGAAAAGTACTCAACATGTCGCCTGCGGGGGTTCAGTAAGAACCCCACGCAGTGAGCAGGCTCCAGCATGTGCTGTGTGCGAGCCTGCACACGCCTGATGATGCAGTCAGCAAAAACCCTCCCCAAAGGAGCGCATGCATCAGTGACACGGCGGACAAGATCCTGTGTCCACTCGATCATGAGGGACATGTACTGCCCCCCACGATCCATCCGCCTAAGCAGCTCCATGACGGGCTGCATGATGTGGACTATGGTGGCCATCGTGTGCCACCAAGGCTCCCATCTGATCTGTCGGCGCACCCAACGCGCCATGTTGCACACATCGGCGGACCACGGTATAGAAGCAAACTCCCGCCCGTCATCCCCTCGCATCATCGCCTGCAGAGCGTCCTGCAGGGCCAACAATCTCTCCAACATAGAATAAACAGGCGCGAACCGCGTCTCGCAAGAAAGCACAAACCCCTTGTTGGGGTTGCGCTTCCTAAAGAAATAAAGGGCGGCCTGGTGGGTTTTGAAAAACACCACCAGAACACGAGCGCGTGTAATCGCGTCCACAAACGCGTCGCAACTCGTCCCCATGTCTGACAACAATTTGTTGCAGACATGGACAGAACACGGAAGCCAAGTGATCCTCCTGCCCAGCCCCCACGTACGCCGATGCGGAGTCCAATGCGAGGCCAATGCCCTCCCAGCCCCCACGTACGCCGATGCGGAGTCTGTGCATATCGCATTGACCCGCTGCGGGCCGCCGAAACTAAACTCGTGGAAGATGGTCACCCATCTCCGAAGGACGTGCACTGCATCGTCCGGCTCGCCCTTGCGATTGATCGTCGTATAGACGACGACCCCTCGCGAGCCGGCGGCAAGGAAATTCACGATCGGTCTCCCGTCTTGTGATTTCCTCCCGTCGGAGAGGAGGGTGGCACCAGTGATCCAAAATGGTTGCCTCACCTCCTCCAACTCCTCCGCCAGCTCCTCACGGTGGGTCTCCACCGCCTGCATACTCGCAATCTCGCTGTGGCTGGGGAACACAGCGCGCGGGGAACTGCCAGGCTGCTCAAGAAGGACCTGCTGGTATGCCTTCCAAGCCTGGTTGCGGAAGGCATTGAAGGGGACCCCGCTGGAATAGAGCCAGCGAAGGAATGTCTTCTTGTGGCGAGCAACGCACTCGCCACCGTAGACGTCAGTGACCTTCTGCTGGCGAAGCCTCTTCCCACCTGGGGCGGCAACCGGATCTGTTCCACCTTCCTTCCTCTTGGAAGAACCCTCCCCTACAGGTCCGTTGGCTGCTCGCCTCAAAAAATCCTCCATCCTCTCCCCAGTGCCTGGATAAACCTCAGGCACGTCCTCGTGTCCCGGGACTCCCTTCTCGCCCGGGACACGCGCCTCGCGATCGACGTCGATCGCGCCCTCCTCCGTGTCTCCACCTCCACCATCTCTCCCGACCCCTCCTAACGCTCCCTCCACGGGCTGCCGCCCCACCTCTCCTCCCCTCACACCACCCGTGCCAGGCACATCGACTCCGTGCTCCGCCGCGTACCGAGCAACCCTCTCCATTTGATCGCTCTCGAACTTTTGTTGACTCCGTCGCGCGATCTCGTACAAAGCCTCGTCACTGACGTCCTTGCAGTAGTTCGTCTGCGTGAAATGCCTCGTCGCCTAGAATTGGCTCCCCTGAAATACTTTGTTGCAAAAAGTGCAACGCAGCATCATGACCCCATTGTTGTCGACCTTCTGGCCGACAACCAGGTAACAGTACACGGGGGAGCGGCCCCTGAATGTGTCCTGCACATGGTCAGGGGCAGGCTCATGCTGACGCCGCTGTGACCTCCCCATGACGGCTGCCCTCGC